TGAAGGAAGTTTTTCATGGTCACCCGAGTCAATCCGAATTTGGTTGTACCCGGAATAGGCATTGAGAAATTTGAGGATCTCGTGGCCGGTCTCCGTATCGATCATGCGATCGATGTTAGGCAGAGGAAAAGAGTCCTTGGGGCATGCCTTGTTCAAGTATTTGTAATCTACACACAATCTTAATTTATTTCTCTTTTAGGGACTACTACTACATTTGCAAACCAATCGGGGTACTTAACTTCCCGAATGGAGCCTATTTTAAGGATTTTAGATACCTCGTCTTTGATAAATGCATGCTTGACTTCGGATTGAGGCCTCCTTTTCTGTTTGACCAGATGAGACTTCAGATCCAGGCTCAGCTTGTGAGTAGTTATTTCCGGCGGGATCCCTGTCATGTCAAGGTGGGACAAGGTGAAACAATCTATGTTTATTATAAGGAATTAAATGAGCTTTGTACAGAGCTAGGTACTTAACCCTGTGCCCAGGTATACCTTCCAATCGGGCATGTGCTCAATCAATATGACTTGCTCCAGCTCCTCGACTGTTGACTTGGTGGCATCAGAATCGTCAGGGGTTATGAAAGACCTGGGAACTCTGTAGTCGTCATCCTTGCTCACCCCTTGCTTTTATGGCTCGGTCGGGGCCGATATCGGTGATTGCTATTTGGTTTCTTCCTTGGTGACCAAACTCAGGTTCTTTGATGTCGAGAGTACGGATATCGGGACCACCTCATCTACCGCGAACATCTATTTTGCGGCTGGTTGCTCTCCGTAAACTATTTTAATCCCTCCTGGTGTTGGGAATTTCAACACCTAATGAAGTGTTGAGGGTACTGCCCTCATGTTGTGAATCCATGGCCTCCCAAACATAGCATTGTATCTCATATCTCTTTCGATCACGTAGAACTTTATTTCCTGAACGATTTCAGTGGTGTTCACTGACAGGGTTATCTCCCTTTAGTGGTCTCACATACCATGTTGAATCCGTTTAGAACTTGGACTGCAGGCACAATATGGTCTTATAGACCCAGTTGTTCTACGACCCTCGATCTGATGATATTGGCCGAGCTACCTGGATCAATTAACACACGCATAACTCGAGATTTATTTATAACTACAGATATTACCAGTGCATCATTGTGTGATTTCTCGATGCCTTCAGTGTCCTCGTCGTTGAAAGATAGGGTTCCTTCTGGCATGTAATCGTGAGCCCATTTTTCCCTTGTGATGGACACTTTGGTATGCTTTAACATCGGTCCCTGGGGACGTCGACCCCGCCAATGATCATGTTAATGATGTGCTGAGGTTTCTCTTGCTCGATATGCTTATTGGATTCCCTATTCCTGAAGTGACTTTTGGCTCGATCGCTGAGGAAATCTCGGAGGTGTCTATTGTTGAATAACCAGGCTACTTCCTCTCTCAGTTGTCGGCAGTCTTCAGTTCTGTGGCCATGAGTACCATGATATTTACACATTAGGTTGGGATCCCTTTGGGCAAGGTCGGACTGTAAAGGTCAAGGCTACTTGGTGTCTTTGATGTGTCCGATAGAAGATACGACGGCAGCAGCATCGACGTTGAAGTTATACCTTTATAACCTCGGTCTTCCTTAGGCCCGATGGGCCTGCCAAAATCACTTTTTCTCATGAGTCCCTGGTTATTTTGAACTCGGTCGCTTCTTCGTTCAGTTCTCACAGTGTTTCGTCCATACCCATTACCCCTTTGATCTCCATTGTATGGTTTATACCGGTTTCTATTCGATCTTGGTTCATGATCAATGTCTCTTTTGGATCTGTCACTATCTCTGACGGGATAAACATACTTGGAAGAGGTCCCGAGCTGATCATCTTCGGCCCAGATTTTTGATTGGTACCAGTTATGGATGTTGGCCAAGTTACCGCCGTGTATTCTATCAGATTTTTCTTAAACTGCTGTGAAGCCGATGAGCTTCGAGTATTGAGTCCTTGGGTGAAGGCCTGAACGGCCCAATCGTCTGCAACCGGAGGCAGGTCCATTCGTTCCATTTGAAACCGGGACACAAATTCCCTAAGCATCTCGTTATATCTTTGCTTAACTTTGAAAAGGTTTTACTTCCTGGTCTCGACCTTGATGGCCCCGGCGTGTGCTTTCACGAAGGCGTCTGCAAGCATAGCAAACGAGTCAATAGAATTAAGGGGTAAGTTGTGATACCATATCATAACTCCTTTTTACAAGGTCTCTCCGAACTTTTTCAGCAGGACGGACTCGATCTCATCATATTCAAAGTCGTTCCCCTTGATGGCGCACGTGTTGGAGGTCACATGTTCATTTGAATTTGTTGTTCCGTTGTACTTAGGAATTTTGGGCATACGGAACTTCTTTGGGATCGGCTTCGGAGCTGCGCTCGGTGGTACTCTTGGGATTTGGTCGACCCTGGAGTTGTAGGTTTCTACTTTCTTGCCATTGGCTTTGATTTTTTTTTTCTCCCAATTCCACTTGTTTTGTCAGTTCCTCAAGCATCTTTATGATCTCGGGGTTTGTCCCGGGTTCAGCTTCACTCGGCCTTTCTAAGATTGGTTCATTTCTGCAAGCGCTTTCCCGAAATGGTTCGGGCTCGACTCTGCTGGGGGTGCAGCTCTGGTTCTACAACTAGGCTATCGCTGCTTGCTAAGCCTGCAACATTTCAAATATTACTCGCAAGTTGATCCCATTACCTTCACCGTCTTGCGTATTTTTGGCCACAGATCGGACTCTCCCACGGATGCTATTCTTAGGATCGGTATGCAAGTTTGCATCGATAGCCACATGTGAGTTAGTGTCGATCGGGTCCGTGGCCGGAACTCTATTGGGGTCGACAGGGGGCACCTCATTACCGGGTACCACATTGTTGTTCTCGCCATGGTGGCCAAACTCATCATCCACGTTCAAAGGGGCAGATTGAAAAATCGACATTCTAAATTTTTACCTGAAATTAAAATCTCAAAGAACAGGTGTAAAATAGGGTGTGTTATAGAAATTTATATCAAATTGCCACTATTATCCTTACCCTCACGGTGGGCGCCAAACTGTTTACCCTAAAAAATAGAAAACAATTAAATTTGTAAGTGGTTTTAAGGATACGCGGATTAAATTAATACAAATGATAAATTGCATTAGATTAAACAGTTAGAGGACGTAATATATTTTCAAACCGCTTTAGGGGAGAGATTCAAGACTCAACAACAGCCTTAATGAAATATCTGCCCTCGATCCCGGACTCACAACAACTAAGCACTGATGAACGAAAGTGAGAACTTTGAATAACAGAAAAAGTAATAGTATATTGCCTTGATATGCGTGTTACAGTCTCATTAATGAATAATCAGACCCCCTTTTATATAGTAAGGGAGTATTACTCTAAATACAATTCCATAATAGGTAAAAATCTTTCGTTTAACCAATCACCGGATTCCTACCGATACGTTCCGAGATCCACGCCGTGATATCCGGCTGGTCACAGATATCACGTCCTATTGTTGGTCGTACTCGATTGCCTGGTAGTGCTCTCCGAAGCCTTTGGGATTCAAATCGAACCCGGGTTCATGACCTCGATACTTCCGAGTCCGGACGCTTTGTCCGGATCTCGGCTCGAGGGGATCCTTGCCTCGATTCCGGTCCCTTATCATCATGCCTCTTGCTCCGTTTACCTTAATAGAAATAAAGAAATCCCATGGGCCCGGTTTCATCCGTATATAACATTGTTCATCCCTTTCAGAATGTTATCAATAAGAAGTGAACCTAAATCCAAAATGAACTCGTTGTACACATTAGATAGACACCATTTTAGTCCAAAAACGAAGCTTGAGCCTCTGCTGAGTTTCTTCAAATTAACTGAATGCACCCAGAGAATTCCATGATCATTTTACCTCTAACATCTCCGATAGTTCCTCCTGCACCTACTCTTTATCCGTTCTTCATGCTACTTCCATCCGTATCGACATTAATAGCATTTCTAGTAGGTGTCACCCAAGTAACCTTCATGTTGATTAGTTGGGGCCAATCCGTCCCATACAGTCATTAATTCTTCTTAAAGTAAATTGTAGGAAAAAGAGATATTCGTTAACTAGAGAACTTAGAGTTATGCAAGGAAGATGAAGGAAATTCTTTGTAGAAGAGCGTACTTTATTAACCGGAAGAGTCTGCCTTTTATAGGCTTACAAATTCACAAAGATAATACCTATCCAAAAGACTCCCACTTGACTAACGACTAGGAAAACACCAGAAACGTATCAACAAAATCAGAAAAAATAGCAACCTAACAAAGACTCTTTCAAACTTAATAGCATGTTTGGCCAAGCTTCTCCGAGCTGAAAAGTACTTTTTTTTAAAGTTGAAGTATTTGGTCAAGATTTTAGAAGAAGAAAATACTTTTGAGTAGAAGTAGAAGTAGAAGTAGAAGCAGTTTTGGAGAAGCAGAAAAAAGTAGCTTATTCCCACAAGCACTTTTTGAGAAGTACTTTTTAAAACCTTGGCCAAATACTAATTATTGCTTAGAAGTACTTTTCAAATTAATTAGTCACAAACTGCTTTTTACCAAAAGTACTTCGAAAAAAAATACTTATCAAAATAAGTTGATTTTTACGGTCAAACAAGCTATAAAATACTTATTCAACTCACGGTAAATAACCTATTCCTAAGCAGTAAACTTAAAAACCTAGACTTTTTGAATCAATTTCCAACACTCCTCCTTGATTCAAAATCACTTACACCAAGGAATAATATAAAGTAATTGTGCTTTGCCAGAGGAAGTGCTTTAGTAAGAATATCTTGCAACTTGTTCTTTTATGCTGCAATCCTTCAACTCAGTCAGCCCTTCTGCAACCAGTTCATTGATGAAATGATGCCGAATATCATGTGCTTCGATCTTCCATGATTAATAAGATTGTTGGCCATTGCAATTGCTGATAAATTATCACAAAAGATTTTTGTTTCTCCTTTTTGTTCTTGGTGAAGATCAGCAAGTAGTTTTCTCAGACACAATGTTTGCTATGTTGAAGATGCTGCTGCAACATATTCGACCTCGGAAAAAGATAACACTATTGTTGGTTGTTTCTTTGAGCTCCAAGTAATAGCCGCAGAACTAAGTGTGAAAAAGTTTCCAGAAACACTTTTTCTATCATCCAAATTCCCTGCCCAATCACTATCTTAAAAATCATAAAGATTAAAATTAGAACTTCGAAAGTACCATAGTTCAAATCCCGTAGTTCCAATAACATAGCGTAAGATTCTCTTAGCTGCTCTAAGATGATGCTTTGAAGGCCTATGCATAAACCTTGAAATCACTCCAACGGAAAATGATATATCAGGACGAGTGAGCGTCAAATAGATTAAACCTCCAACTAAGCTTCTAAAGGAACTTCCATCAGCTTTTTCAATACCATCATCAAGTTGTAGCTTCTCATTTACATTTATAGGAGTAGCCACCGTTTTGCAGTTAAGCATATTAAATCTTTTGAGAAGATTAATGACATACTTTCTTTGTGAAATAAAATTCCATCTTCTTCTTTCTTGACTTCAAGTCCATAAAAATAGTTCAACAATCCCAAATCTGCCATTTCAAATTTTTTCATCATAGAAGATTTGAAATCACATACAAGAGAGTAAGACGAACCCATATAGATCATATCATCAACATACAAACAATACCAAAAAAAAGATCATTTTTTCCATATTTTCTCACATATAAAGTTGGTTCATTCATACTTCTTTCAAATCCACTTTCTCTAAAGTAGGAGTCGATTTTGCTATACCATGCGCGAGTAGCGTGTTTGACCCCGTAGAGTGCTTTTTTCAACCTGTAGACTTTGTTCTCCTTTCCTTTCTCTACATAACCATCTGGTTATTCTATCACTTCTTCTTCCAATCGTCATTAAGGAATGCAGACATAACATCAAATTAATAAACCTTCTATTTTAATTGTACAACCAAAGCTAAAAGGATTCCTGCAGTTTCAAAGCGCGCACCTGGAGAGAAAGCTTCGTCAAAGTATTGACCTTGTTGCTATGAATATCACTTTGCGATCATTCTGGCTTTGTGTTTCTGCACGTTCCCGTCAGCATGGTATTTTATTTTGAATACACATTTTAATCCGATAACATTTTCCCATCTGGAAGATCCACCAAGTCCCACATCCCATTTTTCCTTATTGTCATAAGCTCTTCTTCCATTGCACATCTCCATTCCATTTTTGTTGAAGCTTCCTTAAAGCTAGCCGGATCTGTACCAAATAAAGCAAAGGTACATATTTTATAAATATCTAAAAGTGATCTAAACTTATGTGGAGGAGTCTCATTGGAATCTTTTGAGTCAGGCACCATCAATGTTGAGCTGTTACCACTTGGACTGATGTTGCTGAACTTTCCTGAAGAGTGGCTTGGTGCATTTGCAAGAGGCTGACTTACTGCTTCACTGGGAAAGGCTTCATCTTCCACTGCAACTTATGAACTTTTACTGTTGCTTTCTATTTTCAGCAGGTATTTTCATCAAATAACACCTCTCCTGATAACCACTTTTCCATTTATGGGATTATACAATATAAAAGCTTTGGATTCAGAGCAATATCCAAGGAAGATGCATTTTCAGATTTTTCATCAAGGTTTTTGTGATGTTAAGAATTTACTAAAGCATATGCAATACAACAATAAAAAATCTCAAATGACTTACCCACAACTTTCTACCTTTCTAGATTTCAAAAGATGTTCGACCCATGACTGCTTTTTTGGAGAAATATTAAGCAGATAAACCACAGTATGAATAGCCTCAACCTAAAATTAATTTGTAAGCTCTTTACTCTTCAACATGCTCCTGGCCATCTCCACAACAGTTCGGTTCTTCCGCTCGACAATCCCATTTTGCTCCGGAATGTAAGGTGAAGTCAATTTCATGTGAATGCCATTTTCTTCACAAAACAACTTAAACTCTTGTGTCAAAAATTCACCTACTCTGTCAGTACAAAATACCTCAACTTTGTTACCAAATTGGTTTTCAACCAACGCCTTGAATATTTTGAAGCTTGGAAAAGTTTCTGATTTGAGCTTAAAACAATATTCCCAACTCATCCGACTGTAATCATCTGTTAGTAACAGAATATATCGAGAACTAGCAAGTGATTATCTATTCATAGGACCATCCAAATCTGCATGAACAACTTCAAGACAACTAGTGGCTCTACAAGACTTTCCTACAAGAAAAGATTTTCGATGTTGCTTGCCATGTATACAACCTTCACATATATTTTCAACAGATTCTATATTTGGAAAACCATAAACCATTTTATTTTGACTCAATAATCTCAATCCACTCATATTCAAGTGTCCATAATACAAATGCCATAACTTAGATTCTTCAATATTTTTCTCACTAACAAATAAGGCTTGTTTAATTTTTGAAACTTCAAGTGGAAATATTTTGTACTCTGTCATACGAATATTTGCTAAGATTTGACCTAACTTCTTATTCTTAATAATATATGAGCCATCATCAAACAAGACATGGAATCCACTATTTAACAAATTCCCAATACTTAGCAAGTTATGTGGCAACCTAGGAGCAAAAAACATATTTTGGATAAGTTTCACTTTATCTTGAATAGTTTGGACAACAACAACACCTTCACCTTAGAATTGAATTTCCTTATTATCTCCAAGCTGAATTCGCCTTTTTTTTTTTTTTTTGTCTCATCTAAGTCTTTAAATCTTGTTTTTTCACCATCCATATGATGGGAGTAGCCACTATCCATAAACCAAACACCAATCTTATGATCTATGGTGGTAGAGCGAGCCATGAAAAACATGCTTTCTTCTTCCTCGGCATAACCTGCTTGATTATTTTTGTATCGGCTCTTAGCTTCTATATGGCCAAACCTATGACAATTGTAACATTGCACTCCACTTCTGCGGCTATTTGTCCATCCAGGATGGCTTCTGCCTCTACCACATCCTTTGCCTCTAAAAGAGCCTCCGCCATGTCCTTGTGCTCCTTGTTCTAGTGACTTCTCATTCTGAATTGGAGGATCTTCCTTTACTTGAAATGTCACGACCCAAACCTATGGGCCATGACGGGTGCCCGAGTCCTTCATGTCGAACACCCCTGAGCATGCGTCTNTATATATATATGTGCAGAACACGGTAAGGCGAGCCGACAAGGCTGTTATGGACCACTATATATTAAAATAGAAGCCGACAAGGCCACACACTATCCAACTGTACATGACTGTCTACAGACCTCTAATAAAGTGTACAACTATATAAAGGACGGGACTGAACCCTATCATACCCATATATGTATACAAAAATATTGTACCAAAACCTAATAGCAGCTCTGGATCAAATGAAAGACACCAATTCTCGCTGAGCAAGGATCCTAAGAAGGGGAGTCGTCAGCCTATCTACCTATATCTGCGGGCATGAAATGTAGACCCCCAAGCAATAAGGGTGTCAGTACGAATAATGTACCGATTATGTAAGGCATAAAAATTAATATATAAAAGACATGAAAGAAACATGGAGTAAATGAGTCAACTTGTAAGTCTGAATAGCTTTGTAAATCATGAAACATTTATAATGTCATGCATATGCGCATAAATATCATATCATGCATAGGTATATGTGTACATAGTATCGTCAAGCCTCTGAGAGCATCCCATCATATCATCTCGGCCTCTATGGACGAAATCATCAATGTATACCAACTAATCAGGTGGTAGTGCGTCTATAATGACGTAACCTTTTCCCATATCCTATATATATATAATATACACGTATATAACACCATATGGTCATGGGTAAAAGTACATGTATAAATGAATTCAATGCATAAGAAGTAAGTCAATAAGATCTCTCGAGATGTCATAAGATCAATATGTCTTCGGTTAATATCACGAAATAAACGTTATCAACTTACGTATTTCTGAGACCCATGAACAGATGATATAATAATATTACATATGGGAAATCAAAAATATAGGCAACCCTAGTACTTCTAAGAATATAGCCATTTGTGAAAGTTACGTGTTTGCTCGTTTTGTTGTATCATATGGATCATGCCAAAAGGAAAGAAGAGATAGCCTTAACATACCTTATAGAAATATTTCCAATAACAATGCTAAACTCAGCTCATTGTACCTTAATCTACAACAATAGCAGTGAAGCTATTGTCAAGCTACGAATGACTCTCTCATTTATATAACGAAAGTAACTTAATGTGTAACAAAAACGGGCAGCATTTCCCCTGATTTTACTGCTTCCTCAAGCCTACTATAGGTGAGACAACAACTATATGCAATCAACATCTCAAAAACAACCTAACTATAATTCGGGACCTTTAATACAACAAAAACCCAAATATACTATAACACACCCAATAAACAAGGTATTAATTAGCCTTAAATTGCAATGATGAGTGACCAGCCAAATATCCTACCACATGTGACGTTTTTCCATGCCCTTTATCCTTCCAAACTCTATAAATTAGCAGCACAAGAGGCCAACATGAGTGGACTACAAAATAGTCCACTACAAGTGGAATAAATCATACTCACAACTTCCGATCACCGTCCTATGAGTTCTAACTATTAGGAAACGAATTTATCGACCTTTATTGAGATTTAAAAGCTTAAATGCAGAAAGTAGGCATTTTATTAACTATGAAGTACCATCCAAAACTCAAACTACAAAGAGAAAGAGAGGCGGTATAATGATACTTACATCGTAGGGATTGTTCTAATGTTATCGCTTCTTGATTTCATACCCGATATGTTAATCCTTTTTGAAACACTTGTACAAATCTTAAGGGTACGTTTATAGGTCTTATTTGTTCGTGGTATCTGGAAAAATTAAGAAAAATATGACATAAGGCATATATATATATATATATATATATATATATATATATATATATCCACTTTTGAAAACTCAAAGAGGTGCTAGCTTGGCACCCTAACATTGGCCCTTCTTCAGACGCTTATATCTTTTTATCCGAACGTCATATGAATGAACGATTAAGAGTGTTGGAAACTAAATTCCAAGACATTAAATTTGGCATATAATATTTCCCAAAAATACCTCATATAACACATAAAATGTATTTCTCAAAAAGTTTCATTACAAGGCAAATCTTTAGTCAGGTTTTCCACAACTTAAATTCGATTTTTCTCAAATTTTATATTTTATATCCAAACATCATATATAGTCATATTATGACTTTAAACTGATTTAAATCATGATTAACAAGTCTCATATTCATTATACATCACCTAGGGGCGCACATGATGTAACAATCTCCCCCCCTAGAAACATTCAGCATCGAATGTTAAACTCCCAGAGATCTATAGGAATTTTGGCAGAGTATACTCTATAAATGTACTACTACCAACCTATCACACAGCAAACCAAACAATACAAATCCACACGGGGCCACAATCATCAATAGCACCAATGGCCTCATACGACCAATGACAATAACTAACATATGAATCCAGTATCATATATGCACCTAAAGGCTGTAATGTCTCAGTCTGATCCTCCTTCAGAAGCGGAAACAAGCGAGGATACCTAGACTTCATGTCTTCTTCAGCTTCCCAAGTCATCTCCCCCACATTCTTGTTCTTCCAAAGTACTTTAACTAAGGTTACGTCCTTAGTTCTCAATTTCTGAACTTGTCTATCTAGTATAGCAATAGGAGCTTCCTCATATGATAGCTGCTCTGTGACCTGAACATTGTCAATTGGAACTACTCTAGATGGATCTTTGATGCATTTACAGAGCATAGACACTTGAAAGGCTGGATGTACAGACTCCAAGTTGGAAGGCAAGTCTAACTCATATGCTACCTGGCCTACTATGCGTATAATCTTATAAGGTCCAATGTACCGAGGGCTGAGCTTTCTTTTCTTACCGAATCTCATAACACCTTTCATCGGTGATACCTTTAGGAATACCTAGTCGTCTACTTGAAACTCTAAGTCTCGTCATCGATTATCTACATAGGACTTCTGATGACACAGAGATGCTAATAGCCTTTCCCGTATAATCTTAATCTTCTCAACTGCCTATTGTGCTAACTCTGGTCCTACTAACTTAGTTTCCCCAATATCGAACCATATGATAGGTGACCTACAATTCCATCCATAAAGAGCTTCGTATGAAGCCATTTGAATGTAGAATGATAGCTATTATTATATGCGAACTTAATAAGCGAAAAATGATCATCCCAGCTACCCCTGAAGTCTATCACACAAGGTCGTAGCATATCCTCAAGTGTCTGAATAGTAAGCTCAGCCAGACTGTCAGTCTGGGGATGAAATATTGTACTAAGACTTACCTGAGTCCCCAATCCTTTTAGGAAGGACCTATAAAAATTAGCTGTAAACTGACCACCTCTATCTGAGATAATTGATATAGGGACACCAAGAAGTAGTATTATCTCCTTAATGTAAAGGCTTGCATAAACCTCTACTGAATACGTAGTCCTGATAGGCAAAAAATGGGCTGATTTTGTAAGTCTATCAACAATCACCCATATAGAATTCAACAGGTTAAGATATGGGTGAAAGAGAAGAAAAGCCCTCTACAAATCTCCTGTAATAACCTACCAAACCCCGGAAGCTACGAACCTACATCGGTGTCGTGGGTCTAGGCCTAGTCTTCACTGCCCCAATCTTTTGTGTATCAACCCGGATACCCTCACTTAAAATAATATGCCCAAATAAGGCTATAGAATTCAACTAGAATTCACATTTAGAGAATTTTGCGTAAAACTACCTTTTTTGTAGAACTCTGAGCACAGTACGCAAATGATCTGCATGCTTATCCTATGAATGGGAATAAACAAAAATATCATCTATAAATACAATTACGAACATATCTAGAAAGGGTCTGAACACACAGTTCATCAAGTCCATGAATACTGCTGGGGCATTGGTCAAACCGAACGACATAACACGAAACTCAAAGTGCCCATATCTGGTCCTGAATGTTGTCTTCCGAAAATATTTCTCTTTAACCCTTACCTGATGGTACCCAGACCTCAAGTCTATCTTTGAGAAACACATGGCACCCTGCAACTGATCAAATAAGTCATCAATCCTCGAGAACGGGTACTTATTCTTGATCGTCGCCTTATTCAACTGCCTGTAATTAATACACATCCGCAAGGAACCATATTTATTTCTCACAAATAACACAGGTGCTTCCCACGGTGATGTACTAGGTCTGATAAAGCCTTTTCAAGCAAATCCCTCAGTTGTTCTTTCAGCTTCCTCAACTCTGCAGGTGCCATTCTATAAGGAGAAATTGATATCGGGTGAGTATCTGGTAATATGTCAATAGCAAACTCAATCTCCCGTTCTGGAAGAAGGCGTGGAAGCTCATTGAGAAAAATATCAGAAAACTCACTAACCACTGGGATAGACTAAAGGTTCGGGGACTCTGCTTTCACATCCTGTACCCGAACTAAGTGATAAATATAGCCCTTTTTGGTCATCTTCCTTGACTTGAGATAGGAAATATACCTACTGTTGCGCCCCGTTTTCTCACAAAAATAGATTTCGACTTGTGGTAACTCTTTTAAATGGGAATTAAAAGAGAAGAGTCGCCACCTAACAATTTAAGGTGCCTTAGGGCATCTATTTGCAAATAACTCTGTTTGACTAATCTACATCACCAAAAGATCGGGTAAGAACTAAAATTACCTCGAAAAGAAGGTGTTAGGCACTTTTTGAGGTCCACAATTATGGATCCCGTCCAAAATTTACACTATATGGATGATAGAATTAAGCTAGGTGATCATATAAGTGAAGAAGGACATGGAAGTGAAGGTTCTATTGTAACACAAGCAAGTGTAAAGAAACAACATAAGAATTAAACTATATAAATAATCAGTACAAGTCTTAGAGGATACAACTGTTTTGGTCTATATTTAATAATTAAGTGTGAACAATGAACATATAAAGGGAAGGGGGTCCTCAG